CGTCGGTTTCTTGATTCTATGAAGAAAGTTTTTTTTTATTTTCGCATTTTTAACTTTTTTTATTCTCTTCGAAATTTCCTATTTTTTTTCATTGGTTTCTCTTTTTTTTTCTTTTTCATTGGTTTCTCATTTTTTTGCAAGCATATAATTAAAAAAGGTAATTATTTAGTGGCCTAATTATAGACCTAAACGACGCTGTAAGTATAATCTTGTTACTGACTTTAATTAGTACAAACTTTTATTAATCTCACAATCTTTATTAGAGGCCTGATGATTTTATTTTATGCTGATTAATGTTGAAGCATGCCACCCATTTATTAATTAAGTTATAAATGTTTTAGTTACAAGGATTTAATTAATAAAATGGATCCAAATTGAGATGATTTTGTATATTGTAAATTCATTAGTTGATCAAAATATTATAGCTTCTTGGTGACGTGTATAAGTAAAAAGTTTGGAAAAAAAAAATATTTTGATTTCGGAATAAGATAAATTTTGAGCAAAGTTTTAATTGTGTGGTTTTTTTAGCTTTGGGTAAGTAACCCCATGTGCTTTCTTTCTTGAACCAGCTTGACACCTAATTATGCCCTAATATTAATTTATAATTTATGGCTAATACAACTTTGTGAACAATCTAAAATATACAGCTACATCTTATCTTGTTTTTTCCTGTCTTAATCTTAATGTCATTATTGTATACAAACTTATAATCCTATTTGTTTTGATGCAACAGTGTTTAAATTGTGTGTGTATACAATGACATAATTTCGTGGGGAAAAAGTTTTGAAGAAAATAAAAAAAACGGTTTCGATTGTCTCTACATAAAAAGATGTTTTGAAATTGTATATCATGAGGTATTGTGCGATGTTTGCGATCGATTTGCAGGAGCAGGTCACAATGGTGATGGAGCCAGACAACTGGCCAAGGTTTAAATCCGAGTTAGATGAGTTGAAGAAGCTACGACCTTACTTCCCGGACTTTATGCTCATATATTGCCCCAATGATATAAATGGCAAGGCGAACTTATTTGCCAAGATTGCTCGTCAACGAAATGTACTTTTTTCTAGCTAGTATTAGCACTTCAGTTCTCTATTGGTTCTCAAATACCATTGTATTCGGATAATCAATGTATGAAATGCGTTTCTGACAAAAAAAAAAAAATTTGTATGTTATGCAGTTTGAAGTAACAAAAACGTATTCAGTGATAATAGT